ACAGACAAGAACAATGATCAACACATGCAATTTAGAAATTATTAAGCAATAAGTTTAAGCAATTATGAGCTGCGAGCCTCCGCTGTCCAAGCTCTCACGAGGTCTTTGGTCAGAACACACCTACAAAAATCATCAACCGTCAAATCAAAAATTAATTTTATCATATTGTTATGCAATTCATTCAATCACACGCCATTCAATATGCAATGATGTGCTATGTCAATCAATCATTCAAAATAGAATTTCTTATGAACTAAACTCTCAGGTTGTAGTCAATCTTCCTGGTAACTCATGTATCACTAGAGTAGGCGTTTTCATACAATAGACTCCCTCTAACTGCCATTAACAACTGATCTTCCATCAACCCTATTCATCAATCTCTTGTTATATGCTCTCAATCTTATAATCCTCTATCCTTCATTCTGCCTAAAGTGTCATGCTCCATAATTGATTATTCCTTTAGGTTCTCTCTGTGGATAATCTACAACCTTATGCCCTTGCTATCCACTTTGAAAACATCACCTTGTTAAAAGGTAGCACTTACCTGAGTGTATCTTTCCACAAAGGATATAATCATTATGGCTACTAGTAGGTCCTATCGATCCCTTCTTCGAATCACTAGATATACTCCTCTTATCACTGACATTTTCCCTATTGTTGTGTTATTCGCTTCTAGTCCTCCTCACGCTCACATCATACATGGATGCATGTACTGAAAAATCACGCTCTATCATTTTATCCCATTTCACTAACTCAAAAACTCTTAAATCCATAAGGTACTAACAGATGTCTCAACTCCATATTCAATCCTTGTAAAAATCTGTAATATTTTTATTTAGCAGTGGAGATCAAATGTGAAGTATATCTAGTCAGTGCAATATGCTCAACTTTATACTGCATCACTATTGTGTATCCCTATTCCAGTCTTATGAAGGCTTTTTGCCTCTATTGTCAAGATGAGGGAGGTACATACCAAATTCTAAATAAAATCTGCTCAACTGATATTTGCATTTGTGTTCCCTTCAAACTTCCCATTACTTACTTACCGGCCATCTCTCTGCTTCACCTTCAAATAATAAAAATATCTAAAGGTACCTTCCAGGCCCTAGGCACTGCATTCTATCAAAGATATTCTCTATCCTCAATAGCCAATCTTATGAAGATTGTAAGATCTAAGTTGCTAGAAAAAGTATTAAATAAGATTCAGCATAAATCTTGAGTAAATTTTGGTTAAATCTTGCAACCAAACATCTAGAAGTGTCAATTTTGGGTCACGGGTCGGGTTTGGGTTGAACCCAAAATTGACCCGGCACTATTCGGGTCAACTCGAACACGACCCATTTTTGTAAATGGTTTGTTTTTCGAACCCGAACTCAACCCGCTTCGGGTCCGAGTCAACCAAAAACGACCCGAATGACCTAGGACGAACCAAAAATTGCTAATTTTTGGATTAAAAAATGAGTCAATCTCCTATTTTCGGGTCAAAAGCTGGCCAATTTAGGGTAACTGGGTCAGTTAGAACCTGCCCGGTTTTTGAAATAGGTTGATTTGCTAAACTTGAACCCGACCCATTTTGGGGCCGCGTTGACCATAACCCAAAATTTTTGGGTCAGGTTCGAGTCGGGTTTTTAGGTAGTGTCAAATATTAACACCCTTACAAACAACCCTAAAGCAAGTTTGCCTCACATTAATGGTTGACAACTTGCAAGAAAAATAAAAATCCAACCAAATTAATAATCAATTTATGTAAATAAGACTCATAGTTAAGCCTGATGAAATAATTCCTTCAGAAAAAAAAAAAAACGATTAGTTACCTGTTGCCTCTCAGATTTAGCAATGTATACATGGAAAAGGGTACTAACAAACAATAATGATTTGCCATCCGAATTTCATTTGGTATTAGAAGAAAAACATAGTAGTTCAGAAATTGAATCATTCAACAAGCTGACAAATAGAATCCTATACAAAATCCAAAACCTAAAGAGCACATTATCGACCAAACATGCTCCTATACAAAATTAAGCTATTTCAGGCATTAAAAACAAGCACCTCATTGAAAATATCTACCCTAATTCACCAACAAGAAAATGTGCCTTAAATATAAGGATTCATAACACACTGCATACACGGTTTTGAAAGGAAAAAATGACGTAAATTCCCCACTTCATGCAAGAGAGCTCGATCATTTCCATCATACCCACACCCTCATCTCCTCTACTGTAGCTCCCCTCACACCATTCTGATCACGCAAGTCATCCGCACACCCGATTATCCCAGAGGCCACTCATCATCATAATCACCATCCTCATCCTCATCTCCACCAGGCAGCATCATCCGCTCAGCAGCTTATTCCAAATGGGTACATGCTTTTTAAGCTAATGTACTGTAATGACTTTCGCTCATCTATGATAACTCCATTATTGATTTTAGTAAATTTCTTCTTCCACATTTATAATTCTACTCCATAATTTCTCATTGAAAATTAATTTTCTCTAAACTCATCTTTCCCTAAATTTCCCCTAAAGAGCAAGATGAATCTGAAGCTGTTATCTCAACTTTTTCCTATTTTTAGCTTCCAAATCACTTTTATCTGAAGTTGTTATCTCACATTAGTTTTATCTGTCTTTTATTAACACTTTTGTTTTGTTCTGCAATGCATTCAATTTCTCATATAAATAACTACTACTTATTGATATTTCATCACAAAAACAAGAACTTCTATCTCTAACTTTGTGATTGCAGTTAATTTCACCGAGTATTTAACATTACCATAAAAGGAAAATCAGAAGCAAGCTTAATAGTAATTTCTTAGAACCAAGATTAACAGTAATTTCACATATGATGAGGATCATTGAGAAAATTTGCAAGAACAATTTTTCATAAAAAGAAAATTAGAACAAAGATTATTTTTTTATAAATAATAATACGATTTTATATATACAATAAGAAAATCATGTTTTAATTTTAAGAGGATTACAACGTTGTCTTTTAGTTCAGGTTGTTTTTTGCAGTTGTTGTTGAAGTAGCTGGTAATTTATTTAAAATATCCTTGAAATTTATATAGATACATTCTATATCATATACACTATCTTAAATTTTATAAATAATTATCTTTTATTTTCAGCTGTAGCTTTACAAAATAAAATTACAAACCTTATCATGCATTTACAATAAAAAAATCAAGATACTAAATGCTAACTACTGCTGAACATTGTAGTTAGCGAGAGGATCACCCTGGATCAGGGGGTCTATCATCCCCAAAGGTTGTTGTGCGACTATTAATAAGCTTTGCTCTAGATTTCTATTCCACAACAACCTGTCTGATAGAAAACTGCATTTGATTTCTTGGTCCAAAGTTACTCTCCCAAATATGCTGGTGGTCTTGATATTCCTTCTCTTGAAGCTCTTAATTTTGGGGTCTGTTGTTCCATCATTGATAGATTCTATAATTCTCAAAATCTTTTGAGTTATTGGTACAAAGCTAAATATAGCTCCCCATGGAAACCTTCCAATTATGCATCCAATTTTTGGGTTAGAATTAAAATGGCGGCATCTAAGATTCTGAATTTGATTTCTTTCAAGGTCTCTCCACTTTCTGATTACTCATTTTTTTGGGATCCCTGGGTTTCTGGAAATTCGATTGCTGAGACTTTTAATTTTCAAGGTCCTGACGATTTGCGGGTTAAAGATTTTATTACGAATGGCAACTGGCTTATTCCTACTTTTATTCCATTGGCTATTTCGAACTCTATTACGTCTGTGATCTTCTCGGAGAAGAATGAGGTCCTTTGGAATGGTTGTTCTAAATGGTTGTTTAAAAATTTTACTGAATTTTTCTATTCTACATTTCCTACGGTTGACTGGCATCCCTTCATTTGGCACAAAAAACATTTGCTCAAATTCGCTTGCTTCACTTGGATGGCTGTGCTTGGCAAGCTTAAAACCGCAAATAATCTTTTGTTAAGAGGAATTCAGGTGCCTATTAACTGTTATTTGTGCAATGGCTTTAGGGAAACTCACTCACATCTATTTTTCGCATGTGACTTTTCATTTTACATTATCAAAATGGTGCTGCCGGAGTTGAATGGCTTTTTGCTAAGACCTGCATTACTGCAGTTATTCGAATATTTTGAACATAACTTACACTTCAGTTCTTCTGATAAGGATCTCTGCTACTTAATTACTACCTGTACTATTTATCACTTATGGAGGGAAAGGAACAATAGACGATTTTCTTCTGAGAGAAACAATGTGACCAAAATTATTTGCAATATTAGAGAGGTTATCAGACTCAAAATTTCAAAATGGAAAAACTCAAGCACCTTACTTCACAAGTTCTCGGGCATATAGTTCCCTTTGTTTTTTGGTTTTGCTGGTGGTCTTTTTTGTGCAGCTGCAAGGTTGTGGATTGTTCTTTTTTGGCTGGCTGTTGGGACAGTTTTTTACCCCTGTCCCAATTTTTTATCTTCATTATAGTTCAGACCTGGGAAGATGTTTTTTGGGATTTTGTTCTGTTTCAACCCAAGGAAAAATCCAGTTCGTTTGCTATACTGCAGTTCATCATTTCTCGGGTATACTACAAAAATAACAGACAACAATTGTGGGGAATTTTGGACATTCAGACTATGATGACCAAGGTCAGCCTCCATGAGCCTTGGACGGCCTCTGAGGCAACCAGGCTCGTCCGCGGGAATGCTTGCTGGAGGAGTTCGGATGGCCTTCTGCTGGTTCTTTTGCATGGGATTATCTCGGTTATTTATGGCAACCACTGCTTCAGCCTCAGAATTATGATTTTCAACTGCTATTGTGGTTGATTCGGAGCTGCCTTTATTTCTGAGTATTCTCGTTTGTCTAATTTTCTTCTCTTACATTTGCTGTCTTGTCTTTGTGTAAATTTTGTTACTTCGGTTTTTATTTTCTCTTCCCACAGGTTTTGTAATTTGAACTCTTTATTCTAATTCATGGGCTTTTGCCCCGAGTTTACCCAAAAAAAGAGAGGATCACCCTGTCGTTGAAGACGGTCCTCCAATATCCTTCATACTCTCAGCCAAGAAATCATACATATTCGTCTTAGTGAGGACCGCAGCAATATCATTCTTTTGAAGAGTACGGCGCTTGTTTTGTTCAGCATGGGCCCAAGCCCTACGGGTGAGTTCAAAAATGAACATTTCACATGCCCGAGTAAGGACAATCGGGGCCTCGGCTGCGATCATCCTAACATCCTTATCAGCCTTCATAATCTTCTTGATCCGAGCGAGAGGGATGCTATGATTCTTGAAGTCAGTAGTCTGCTGGATTTCTCGGTACAGATTTGCCAAGACCATCTGGAGATGCTGAGGCTGCTGCTGTTGCTGCTGATGGCGGTAGAAATCCTGGTAGGGGACATTAGCACCAAAGCCCTTCGGCGCCTGAAATTCGTGGCCTTGCCGATCCATATCGGGTACGTAGTTGCAGAGGTTAACAACATTTTTCAATTCATATATAAGCATAAAGGATTTTGAAAAAGGAAATGGGCGGAACGGTTTTTTCTGGGAGGGAAAAACCGAAATGATAAAAAAAAATCCAGGAACGTGCTGCTCCTTGTATCAGAGATTATTAAATGTCAAATGAACTTATATTATATCCAAAATACATATGATATAATATTAACGGTACATTTCCAATCACAAATTCAACCCAATCCGAGCCCAAATGGATCCGAATCAAGGACCTGAAGCGTTGTTGGAAGGTTCGAGTCACAATTTGAGTTACCAAATGGTCTTTGATTTTAACGAGCTTATACTCGAATCGACGGCTCGACGAGAAGAATCCAACGAGCTCAAGATCGCCAAATTCCGACATCCCTAAGGCCTTCAAATGTCCAACGAACGGTGCACGATCGTAGGATTCAATATCGGCCGTCTATTGAACCACTCCCTATTCGCCCCTGATCTCACGCCTATTTACACGCTATGCCACTCAAGAAAAACTATAAATAGAGCCCTCATTCTTCATAAGGAGGGATCTAAGGGAAGAGAGAGAAGAAGAAGAGAAGGAGGAGAAGGAAGAAACTCCTCCTCGACCACCGCCGGAACTTCGCCGGACCACCGCCCGAACCTTGACGGAGCTTCGCCGGACCAACGCTGGAACCTCATCGGACCACCGCTGGAGCCTCGCCGGACCACCACCTGAGAGCCTCACCATCGCCGGACCACCGCCGGAGCTTCGTCGAACCACCACCAAAGGCCCTCACTTTCGCCAGAGGCCCTCACTTTCGCCAGAGGCCCTCGCCTTCACCAGAAGCCCTCGCCTTCGCTAGATCATCATCAAAGGCCCGAAGTTCTGCCAGACCTTCACCTGACACTCAGACTTCAATTGAACAGCTATTTTTTGTAACCTGATCGCCCTCGGAGGCGAGTCAGTCCTTTGTAACCGACTCAAATTCTAGTGGAATCATTTTCAACTAGGCTAGGCCTCGTGGTTTTTCTCCTTTCAAGGGTTTTCCACGTAAAAAAATCATGCGTTCTCTGTGTGTGTGCTGGATATCCGTGCAAAGCTAAGACATATAGTTAAAACTCTATCGCCGCGCATATTCTAGTGCGCAACAGTTTGGCGTCGTCTATGGGAACAGTCAATCCCACTATATTAAGTACTCCTTCAATGGCCAACAGGCGTAGCCATCGTATCATGGGAGCCTCTTTCTCCAACTCACATCAATCTAGGAATCAGTCCCTAAATCAGGGACAATAAGCGTCTATCTCTTTTCACCATGGTGGCCGAAACCTTGTCAAAGAAGGGACTTCATGGCCATCCCTGGAAGAGCGTATCAGAAAGATGGAGGAGTCTCAGAATGAGATCCTTCAACTCTTAAGAGAGACTCGAGGACCGGCGCTAGTACCCTAAGAAGATATTCTTCTCCCTCTAGACCAGCCAGGATTCGAAGATGTCTTCATGTCGAGGTCCCCCTTCCTCCGTCAAGGATGCGCCCTCCAACATGTCCATAAAATGAGCTTGCTGACACGGCCAGCTCTACCCATCTTCGCACGCAGGCCACCGGCATCACATTCCTCTAAACGTTCCCGAGGACTTAGACCAACAGCATATCACTGAACTCCCTCGTAATACCCTACGACATGAATTGCAGAAACTAGTCTAAGAGGAGTTCCCCACGCGCGGGAGATATAAGACAATCTCTTCGTCAACGAGACCTTCAAGAGTCATCGCCTTTCACGAAAGCTGTCCTCGGACACCCCATTCCGGCAAGATTCAAACTCCCGAATATTGATTCGTACGATGGGACTTCAGACCCCTACGAGCATATCAATCACTACCGCACCATTATGCATATCCAGCGGGCCTCGGATGCTCTACTATGCCAAGTTTTTCCTGCCACCCTTAAAGGGAAAGCCCAGATGTGGTTCTACTCACTGCCCGCTCGATCTATTCCAGTTTTCGTTAAATTGGCCAAATTATTCGTCAAATAATTTGTCGCCAACCGAAGAATGGTTAAAGACTCCTCCCATCTTTCAAGGATACATCTGAATGAGGGTAAATATCTTAAAGAGTACTTTCAAAGATTTTTCACGGAAGCCCGACAAATTCCAGGGGTAGACCTTGTTGAGATTCGTTCACAATGAATTAGGTTGTTAAACCTAAGCTTATGTCCCAGTGGCTAACCAAGAGGGGGGGGGGGGGTGAATTAGTAATTAAAAAAAATTAACCCTCTTTTTAAACTTTGGAAATTAAATCTTAATTGCTAGTGAATTTTTTAGAAAAAGATTTTTTAACCACAAGTTGTAAATGATAAACAAAATAATAAAAAAATGGAAAAGTAAAGAACACTAGATTTATATTGGTTCAGACAAAATCAGACCTACATCCACTTTCTGGAGGCACCCTCCGAGTATTGCACTAATACCACTAGTGACTCTCCTTTAGCACCCACAGTTGGGCGAAGAAGCCTTTACAAAAACTCTTTCCACCACTACCCGGTGCGGTAGAGAATCGTCTTCCTTTTACACTTATCCCAGTGTTGGCAGAGAACCGTCCATCCTTTCACACTCTCCTAGTGTGGAAAGAGATCCCTTCATCCTTTCACACTCTCCTAGTGTGGGTAGAGAACCCTTCGTCCTTTCACACTCTCCTAGTGTGGGTAGAGAACCGCGATTATTCACACTCTCCATGTGTCGGCCGAGAATCGGATCTCCTTGACATATCTTCTCACAAGAAATCTAGAAGGAAGAAAGAAAAGAGTGAAGTAATCCCAAATCACAAGTAGATATTCCTACCTTTGAATATAAAGCAAAGCCTTCACGCTCCAGTGGTAGGAATCCTCCTTTGAATGCTCTCTCACACTCTCTCCTTGGCTCTTCTTTCAATAGGCATGAAGATCAAATGACAAAAAGATTGGGTGACAGTCTAAATTGAACTATATATAGGAGAGACAAGAAAAACCGTCCAAAACTATAAATTTTTCAAGTCAACACGAAATGAATCGTCTCGTACGATCGTGAATCGTCCTGGACGATTTTACTTAAAGTGTTGGAAACGATCCTAATGAATATTGGTACGAACTATATTCATACATGATCATCATCCTGTACGAACTAGGTTCGTTTGGTACGATCGGTTATACCATAGGTCGGTTCCCAAATAACTGCATGGAGGTAACCAACTTTAGTAACTCGGTTCACATCGTCCTTGGACGACCAAGACTTCATCCGAACAAAATTTTTACAGAGAGCAACTCGTCCTGGCATAATAATGAACTTCGTCTGAACAAAATTTTTATAGAGAAGAATTCATCCTAGGACGATTTGAATTTCATCTGGACAAAATTTTTACAGAGAAGAAATTGTCCTGAGACGATTTGGATTTCGTCTGGATAAAATTTTTACAGAGAAGAAATTATCCTAGGACGATTTGGATTTCATCTGGACGAAATTTTTACAGAGAAGAAATCGTCCTGGGACGATTTGGATTTAGTCTGGACGAAATTTTTACGGAGCCCAAGTCGTCCTGGCACGATTAAAGATTTCGTCTGAACGAAATTTTTATAGAGCCTAACTCATCCTAGGATGAAAATAATTTCATCATGGACGATCAGGACTTAGAAAAATTTCCTCAACTCCAGTTCGTTCCATTGTTCCTACGAGAAGATAACTGACCTGATCGTCCCGTACGAACTAGGTTCGTCCCGTACGATCAATACAAATTTTGTAAAATCTCCTTAAGTGTGTGTGTGTTTTTATTCACTCAATTACAATCACTCCCTCTCAATTCAAAAAATAATTTAAAGCTTCAATTTATAAAGGATTGTATGCTGAATTCAATTTGAAGTCTTCATAGTTTGGAGTTCAATTTTCCTGAAATGTTAATACACACAAGAGCAAAAATAAATCTTCCAAAAAGTGTTAGGAGATAACTACACATAAAATAATATTATTTGGAATCATCAAAACTATACAAGTTGCAAAAATGTAAAACATGCAAATAGCAACTCTCTTAACAGACCCCGAGTTACTTAGAGGTGTATTTCTTGGAAAGCTTCGCTATGGCCCCTTCTACTCAGCACTCATTCGAGAAATGGTCCATTCATAGACGGATCTAATCCATCGAGTAGAGGCTCAAATCTCTGCTGACGAAGCCATTAATGCTCATAGAAAGTAATTTGAGCAGACAACTGGGAAGCATAAAAATCCCCCATGGATGGAGAATCCATCCTCACAAAGGAAGAAGCAAGAAAACTACAATCTTCCTCCTCGACCCTCATAGCCGCTATGAGAGCATCGCCAAGAAAAAGAGTACACGCCACTTAATGTATCCCGAGCGAATATATTGATGGCCATCCAAGATCAGGAGAGTGTGAAGTGGCCATACCCTTTGAAGCCCAACGTCGGAAACCAAGAGCAATATTGCCACTTCCACCACTGCCGCGGGCACACTACTGAAGCATGCAGGCAGCTCAAGGAAGAAATTGATATACTGATCCAACAAGGATATCTCCGATAGTTCATCAAGAACCCACCAGCCCAAGATGAAGTCGGTCTGATTGGGGGGCAGAATCAACAATAAAGGCAGTCGACAAACAATCATCAAATAGTGGGCGAGATCGAAACCATCGCTGGGGGCCCTTCAACGTATTACCAAGTTTTAATTGCGGAGAGTAAGGAGCCACCAATAAAGAAGCTTCATACCGATCACTCTATCACCTTCGAAGAGTCCGATCTAGAAGGCATAAAGACCCCTCATCAAGATCCGTTGGTGATTAGTGTGGGAATCGACGACCTATGCTACAATGTTAAAAGGATCTTGGTTGATAATGGGAGCTTAGTAGATGTTCTACTCTACTCCACTTTTCTTAACATGGGCCTATCTAGAGAGAAACTCCAGCCTGCTGCCGGTCCACTATATTGATTTGATAATCGAGTTGAAGGAACCATCAGTCTTCCAGTCATACTTGGAGAATTTTCCCGACAAGTTGAGCATCATATTCAATTCATTGTAGTGAAATCAGAATCGGCATATAATGTGATCTTTGGAAGGCCACTTCAAACAATTTTTAGGGCTATTGCTTCAATTCCCCTTTTAAAGCTGAAATTTATCACCCCATCGGGGATAGGAACTGTACGTGGAGATCAACAAGTAGCACAATCATGCTATCTTAGGCAGGCTTAACCATGCTCATCAATTACTTTGAGCATTGAGGACTTTGATCTTAGGAATGAAGATATCTCTCAAAGGGCATCCCCTCTAAAAGATCTTACTTCTGTCTCTCTATCAGATGAGCACCCTTCAAGAACAATATAGATCGGATCACTCCTCTCAGATGAAGAGAAGAAGGAGTATGTAGACTTCCTACGTACAAATCAAGATGTATTTGCATGGAGTCAGGAAGATATTCTTGGAATCAATCCTGAAGTAATCATGCACTCTCTCAAGATCAGCCCAGCACTAAAGCCGGTGATCCAAAAGAAGAGAATTTTTGCACATGAACGTCAACTGGCAATTGAACAGGAGGTTGATAAACTTTTAAATGCAAGATTTATAAGAGAAGTACACTATCCCGCTTGGTTGGCCAACGTCGTAATGGTTCGAAAGGCAAGTGGAGCTTGGAGAAAGTGTGTAGATTATACTGATCTCAACAAAGCCTGCCCAAATAACATTTTCTCGCTTCCCTGTATCGACCAGCTAGTTGATGCCAC